CGCGTTTGCCTAGGCCAACGCCAAAACAGTTCTAACCTATACCCTACAGCGCCTACCCTAGTCGCTGGACCCCAAACTGTACCGAACCGAGCCGAACCGAAAAACCCTCCAGATGAAAGTCCGCTCAGCATGAGAGGTTGGTACGAGTGGGTGGGGTGAAGGGCAACGGGGACAGCTCAAGTGCTCCTAATTGACTTGCCAATGTAGAGAGGATTGGCCAGCGGATTGCCAGGCGCCGGATAATCAAGGGGCTTGGCCCAAGAAACTGCTGCCACCAACGCAAGGGATGCTTTCTGCCTATCGTTGCACGTGCAACACAACAAAATTAACATGCAATTTTACTGTTGAATGGATGGTAAATGATAACTTGAAACTCTGTTATATATTTTGTTTTATTTTATGCAAAATGGCACAATAGCTTAATTTAATTGATTTCCAACGTTTTCAAGGAGACAAACGGCTAGTCCGTTCTCCACAAAAGTATTACTTTCTCTCTAAATTAAAAATCTAATTGTAACAATTTTCAGAAATTGTGATAATACGAGATAGCGAATGAATTCCGGAGAGGTAAAACATTTTCCAAATAGAATGAGTTTCGTAAGCTTTGAATTTATTTTTAGTGAACATTCCAAGTAAAAAATTTTTTTTTTTTTTTGTTTGCAAATTTTTGATGCTGCTTCTGGTGCTGTTTCTGTTTTTGCTTCTGTTGCTTCGATGAACATTTTTCGGGCCACTTTCAAGTCACTAACAATTTGAGTGACGCTCGGGGCTGTCAAACTTTTAATAGCCAAAACGGGGGGGGGGGGGGGGGGGGGGGGGGGGGGCAAACAGCAACAGCAACAACAATAACAACAACAACAGAAAGTAGGAAAAGCTGGAGTGATGGGGGTGGTTGTGGGGAAATTCAAAACGTGCGACACGTGCGCTGGGCTCCCGTTTGCTCCCTAGGCGCTATCCCTTCCTCCGCTTGGTCTGGGCTCTGCGGTGTTCTGGTAAAATGCATAAAATTGAAAACACACGCACATGGGGATCGGGAATGGCAGGAAGCAGCTTGGGAGGATGGGAGAATGGGTGGCAAGGTCAAGGCTCTAGCAACTGCTACAAAGTAATTCGTTTCCGCTTCCGCTTCATTACTTCCACCGCCTCGCACTCGGAAAGCACTCAGAGGACCCCAACCCCACTCGCACTCGCACTCGCACTCCCATCCCGCCCAAAATAAGAGTAAAGCAAAGTCAAGTAACAGGCAGAATAAAATTCAGTCGAGTAAAACAAAATAAAATGAAATAAAATAAATCGACGCTGGTAAATAAAATGCGCAATTGACAGGCGTAAAAGGAAATGGCAACAGCCGCAGCCGCAGCCTCAGTCTCTCACACACAGATACAGATAGAGATACAGACACAGTAACCGACACAGACAGAGATACAAAAACAGTAACAGACGCAAATACAGCTACAGATACAGATACAGGCATCCCCTTCCACTGGCTCGCTCTCATCGCTCCGTCGCCTTGCCGCCTTGCCGCCTTGCCGCCTCACCTGCCATTGCCAAATGTTTATAAGCAAATACAAACAAGCAAATATGCACAGCGAATGAGAGAGAGAGAGAGAGACAGAAAGAGGAGGAGCTAGGGACAAGGGAAAGCGAAAGATAAATATAGGTACTGAGCGGGGGGGGGGCTATCGTAATGGCGGCTAATTAACGCATCCTTCGACTTTAACTTGATGAGCGATTTCCAAAAAACCACCCAAAACAATAAAACGAATGCCTCCTGCTGCTCTGCTCCAAAATTAAACTATTTTGAGATCTTAAGAACTTAAGTCTCCTCGTTGGAGACGTCCGTCGACTGCTGTGGCACAGTTTACGAGTATTGCAGTCTTACGATTATAATCCAGTAAATATTGATACACTCATACGAGTATATGGAAAACTGGTCATTTCCTTCCTCTGCGACCATCTTTTGTAGCATTCCAAAATTCATAAAGCACCAGGATTGATGGATGGGATGGGTACTTTAAAGTCTTGTCTTTCCCTTGAGATCTATTGATCCATTGCCTTCCCCGCACTGTTCTCGTACCCTCTCCATGCATCTTTGTCGCTCCACTTGCCAGCGGCCACAATAAACAATGCTGGTTTCGATGGAAGAATTTAATTAAAAGCAGTTCCACTTACTGCTGACACACTTACTGCCACAGCCACAGTCACTGCCATTGCGACAGCGACAGCGACAGCTTGGAGGCGGACCCAAAGGGAACCAAGGAAAATGGAAAATGTGGGGAAATTGTGAGATTTATTTGTGCAAGAAAACAAACAGTGTTGGATTACAGCGAACTGTAACTGAGCTTCAGTGAACCAGTGCGGAAACTGAAGAGCCAATTATTTGGTGTTCACTGTGGAGCGACTGAAACTGAAGCCAAATCAGTGCTGGAAAAACAATTAGCACAGAATCTTCTACACTTTCTTCCTTCACTTTGCTGAGAAGATTTTCTTAAATGAATGCTTATGGAGTTCTGTTTTGCTTGGCATTAACAAATGTTAGCCGCCTTTTTCAATCGGCTTTTGGTCACTACTCTATGACATCAGATCATTGAAACGATTCTCAATGGATTTTGAGTCTGCCTTTCAGCCAGTTTTCATGCCACATCTTCCACAGAGCAGTATTTGTGTGTGCCACTGATTTGTACAAATAGTTACTTCCCCTCACTACTCACCACTCACCCCTTACCACTCACCACCCACTCGAAAGCCCGAAAAGTATATGCCAGTAGCACTACGTGTATGTAGCCTTACCTCTGCACAAAACTCTTATGTACTCGCTTCGATGTGGGATATACTCGTATCCTTTTCCTGGACTCCATCTGCGTGCAAACTATAAAAACCAGAAGCTCAATTATCAAAAAGGCTACGTGTGTTTGCCTTTGCCTTTGTCTGTGTCTGTGGCTGGGTTTGTATGCGGTCTCCGTCTCCCCTCGCTGTTTTCGTGTGTGGGTGTGTGTGTGTGTGTGTGGGTGTGTCTCGGTCTCTTCCTCATTGTCGCCTCCGACTTCCCAGTCGGTATCAATGAGTGGCAGGGCTACGTATAGGGATGCCATCTGAAAGCTTTGTCCCTTTGGGTTTTTGTGTGTGCGCTCGCCTTTGACTGTGCAAATAGATAAATTTATTTATTTTATGCCCTGCTGCCGCTGCTGATGCTGCTGCTGCTGCTCCTGCTGCTGCAAAAACCGCACACAAACAATAGCGATAGCATAGAAATTTACTTTCAATTTTTCCTCTAAAATAAACCAAAAACCCACAAAAAGTAAAGCGAACGAGAGCGAGAGCGAGAGCGAGAACGAGAGCGAGGAGGCCAGACGGCAGCCGGCTGACTTTAAGAGCCTTTATGCTCACAATACACATAAATTGAACATTTTCGAGCTGCCACAGCTATAGCTATAGCAACAGCCATAGCCACACGAAGAAAGCGAACAGAATGGAGAAAACGGGGCAGACACTTTCGGTGAATTGGAAATCGCTTACACAATACTCAGAACCAAATAGGGGTAGGGGTATGTATAAATTTTGGCAAAATATTAAAAAATTCAATGAAGCCTGGAGAAAGTGAATGGAACCCATTCAGAGCCAAGTTTTCATGATTAAGCCATAAATAATTCGACAAATGTTACATTTGTTTTCTAAGAAGGATTTCTCTCTATGTCTTTACGAGTATATTTATATACATATATATACTTAGGTATGTATATTTCTTCTCGGTTCACATTTAGTCGAACCTTAATCGATTGCGGAAACTTTTGGCGCCATCCGAAAAAGGACAGCGACAAAAGGAATGAAAAGAAAAGAAAACCAAAATAAAGAAAAGTATAGAAAAGAAAACACATAGAATAGACGACATGAACAGACTCTGTCGTTCTTTCTTTTTATGTGTATATACACTTATGCTCAATACCCAAAAATACATTATAAATTATAGTTCAGCTGCAGGCAGTCATAGAAGCCATCGCCATCTCCGCCGCGTACGCGTACGCCTCGTATACGCAATGTGCCTGACAATGGAAACAGGAAGGCAAAGAAATGTTGTAAAAAAAATGCCATACCATTCACGTGTATCTGAGTATGTGTGTGTGTGTGAGTGTCAGTCTATGTGTGTGCTTGTGTGTGGCATGTGCATGTGTTCGTGTGTATGAGCATTCGTGCGTGTGTCTTTATATCGAAAAGTTTTTGCCACTTTCTTTAGCCAGAGCTCAACTTTTGTTATGCTCGCTTAGACCCGGCTACGGGTCTCAGCCATCGTCTGAGGCTGAGACTGTGACTCCGACTGGGTCTGGGTCTGGGACTGGGTCTGCGACTGGGTCTGGGTCTGTGCTAGGCTATTTCTGTGCAGTATTTCTATGCTGCTTTCACTTGACTCTCACTTTCATGGCTCGGCTTCCAAAAATACTTTGCACTTGCTGTCTGTGTGTGGGAGTGGCGGAGAAGGGTGGAGAGGGGAGAAATGAGGCCGTAAGGTAAAGGTTCAGTTTGAGTTTCAGCTGGAGATTGAGTTTGTTTGCCTACTTTAAACACAAAAACGATCGGAGAAGAAAAATGAATGTATGTGCGTGTGTAGGTGTGTTTGTTTGGAGAGGGATGTCGATGTCAGTTTCAGCAGAGGCTTCAGCGGCTACTCTCCTGCCCCTCCTGCCCCTTCAAGTCAGCACACCCGGCAGCACACCCCACTCTCCACTCTTTATGGGCTTTGTGTGCTACAAATTGTTTGGCTTTGGAAATTCCCAGTGTTATTGTTAAGGTTTTTATGGAGTCTGTCTCTGTCCTGCTCGTGTCTCGTGGCCGAGATGCCCATCGAGAGATAGACTCGAAAACTAATTTCTGGCCAAATGGGAACAGAAAAATATTGTTATAGAACCCTAAGCGAGTATCCCCCCTGCTCCATTCGCATCCTCATAGCCTTATAGGCTGAAAAGATTAAGAGAACAATATACGAGTATGTACCCGTTTCTTTGCAGGTAAATGGGGCCTGGGCATTGCCTGATGTTGTTTGTGATTTCTATATAGCCATGGATGTGATATGCTCTACTTCATCGATATTCAACTTAGTTGCCATCTCCATAGACAGGTAAGAATGGCCTCCCCTCAGCTAATCTCCCCAGTTTATTAGTGCCACCCACTAATCTTTGTATCTTTGCATTCGACAGATATATCGCTGTGACGCAGCCAATAAAGTACGCCAAGCACAAAAACAGTCGCCGCGTTTGCCTTACGATACTGCTGGTGTGGGCCATATCGGCTGCAATCGGCTCGCCGATAGTTCTCGGCCTAAACAACACGCCCAATCGCGAACCGGATGTGTGCGCCTTCTACAACGCCGACTTTATACTCTACTCGTCGCTGAGCAGCTTCTACATACCCTGCATCATCATGGTATTCCTCTACTGGAACATATTTAAGGTGAGTAGTGTTCAGTCACGAGTCTTCAAGAAACTATGTCGAATGAGGCTTTTCCATACAAAAGTGAAGTGTTCGCATAATTGGTGCTTCGGTATACTATCATTGTCCTGGCATAAAAGCCCTTCCTTCATGCCCTCAGAGTACTCTTTGTCCTAGCATATAGTAGGTAATCAAAATCGGATTTGCTGGTCGGAGTACTCATGAATGGCTGCCCTGATTTTCCCGGCTTTAATTCCCTGCTGACTCGTGCACAATTCACAGTTTACAATCCACCAGTTTACAAAGAACCAAACCCAATCGGGTCGAATCGCATCCAATGGAATGGCAGAGTCAGATTTTAGTTTACACACATTAGCTGCAGCCTTCTCCTGGAGACTGCAAGCGCATCAGTCCTGGATTAGGTCTCCCTGTCTCCCTCTCACCCCCTTACCCACTTACCCGCCCACTGACCCACTCTCTCTGCGTCTACCTCTATGTTACAGGCCCTACGTAGTCGTGCCAGAAAGCAGAGGGCTGCCCGTAAGCCGCATCTCTCGGAGCTGACGGGCGGCAGCGTCATCGAGAACATCGCCCAGACTAGACGACTGGCGGAGACGGCCCTCGACAGCAGTCGCCATGCCAGCCGGATCATGCCGGACGAGCCGGCCACCAACACGGCCAGTGGTTCCAACGAGGAGGAGGACGAAAACGCCATTTCACCGGACATCGACGACTGTCATGTCATTGTGAACGACAAGTCCACCGAGTTCATGCTGGCGACCGTCGTCGAGGAGACCGGCAAGTGAGTATCCACAAAGGGAGTCCAAGCCAGATACAGATACAAACACACTGCTCCCGCTATTCGCTATTCGCCGGGCGCTATTCGTGGTGTGAAGCAAAATGAATGCGTGCGGCTTTGTGGCACAGTGTAATTTGAGGGTTCGGTTGGGGCATCGGTACGTCCCCCTGATGCAATCTACAACCTGGCAGCTTTTTCACGTGCCACAAGCACGTAATAGATAACCCAACACAGCTCCACCCAGTGCTCCTTTGGACAACTCCTGTGAGAGCTGCTGCCTGAGAGTCGTATGCATCGTCTGCATTTGCACTAAGTGCATTGGCAACAGAAAAATGTCAATCTAATTGCAAAACGGGTCTCTCAGTAGAGGGCCCTACTGTCTCAATTGTTTTGCCATAAGAGTAGCACTCAGCACTCTCAGCCAGCCGCCACAAGTCCCAATCGATCGCTCAATCACGTTCCAAAACCGAAACTGAATCTGAATCGCAGTCTGAGGTCGCATCTGAGTCCAGTCCGTGTCTGAGCCAGAGCTCGTGCCTGAGCCTGAGCCTGAGCGTGAACCCCGACCCAAACCTGGCGTTAAGCACAGTCAATTAGCATCCTGATGGCCTGCTTAATCCAATAAGGACATGAAATGAAACCATTAATGACCGGCCCGGATGCACAAAGAGGAATGGGTTGGTTGGGTATTGGACAGACTACGCTTCGACAGACCACCTTATTGGCAACTTTTACCAATCGGGGGAAAAAAGAAGGCGAAACCAAAGAAGATGTGAAAAATAAATCTGAATAATTCAATTAATGCGTCACTTAATTAAAACTCAATTTATGCCTTGCCTTTAATTGACTTTGCGCCCCCAATTTCATCTTCTCGTCCTCTCATCGACATCGCCATTACCATCGTCATCGTCGTCATCGTCATCGTCGTCGTCGTCGCTGCCATCGCTCTCTTCTGTCTGCCGGTTCGCCTGTCTGTGGCATCGATTGATTGATTGTCCTGGCCGGATTGCATTGCATTTGATTGCCCAACGCCAATCATCATCTCGAACGCCGATTGGAAATTAAATGGAATCCCCGTCGCTTTGGCGTCCGTGTGGCAGCAGCGTTGTGGCTCAGATCACCACACAGCCGCAGCTGGTGGTTGCCGATCCGAATGGTAATCATGATTCTGGTTATGCAGCCTCAAACGTTGATGATGTCCTTGCAGGCGTGGGCGTGGCCACGGGCCCGGCCGGCACCGCCGCAGCGGTGAGCAGCGCCACGCCCCCAGACAGCCCCCTGCCCAGCGGAGCCACCCTGCAGCGGTCGAGTGTCAGCAGCCGGCGCAACACCGCCGAGGACTCGCCGAAGCGCGGCGAGCCACCACTCAGGTCAGTGGCAGTCGATCACTCCAGGTATTTGCCATTGAACACACAGTTACTCCAGACCCTCTAGATAGATCCCCCGCGCCCCCTTAGCGTATTACTGTACATACATTCGATCGTACCACCATGAAAAATATTTTGCATAGCCTTCTTATCATGTATATATCATCTGTTGACCCCATGAAAACCTATGACTCCCTCCCTTTATCTCTTTTCTTTTGATCGCATTCCATCACCTTTGAGTCTGTAAAAATATGCCCGTCAAAACAGCAAAACCCTAAAACTCTGCGAAACACCCCCTGTAGCCAGACCCTGTAGGGGACTTATGGTTCCACGTCCACTTTCCTCATGTTTGTACCCGAAACATTGCCTGATGTGCGGTTCCGTTCCGTTTGTGCTCCGTTTTGCAGCGTCGCCATGAAGCCATTGTCCTTTGTCCGCTATGGAGTGCAGGAGGCCATGACTTTGGCACGCAACGACTCAACGCTATCGACCACATCGAAAACGTCCTCGCGCAAGGATAAGAAAAACTCGCAGGCGTCAAGGTGAGTAACGCCGTCCGTCCTCCCTAATTACAGTTATTAGTTCAGCTTTGAGTGTTGGTAATGTAACCCCGACCGACCCACGAAACCGACCGCCCTCTCTCTCTTTCTGCTACACACTTTCACTGGTCTCTACTCGTTCTCTATTTTCACGTTTTTCTCCCTCTCGGAAAATGCAATTTACCATGGCTTATTATCCTTGCCACTTGCCGCTTGCCGCTTGCCGCTTGCGTGCCGTCCTATTGGCGTAGATTCACGATATACAAGGTGCACAAGGCCTCGAAAAAGAAACGCGAAAAATCGTCGGCCAAAAAGGAACGCAAGGCCACAAAAACATTGGCCATCGTTTTGGGTAAGTTAAGCGGAAGCCAAAAAAAGGGCAAACTAGCGGGGAGACTGCAAATCATTTTCATTCTGACTGTATCTGTATCTGACAATCTATCCATCTCTGGCCTAATCCCGGTCTGGCCAAAAGGTGTCTTCCTCTTCTGCTGGCTGCCATTCTTCACCTGCAACATCATGGACGCCATGTGCGCCAAATTCAATAAAGACTGCCGACCGGGTCTGACGGCCTACATGATGACCACCTGGCTGGGCTACATCAACAGCTTTGTCAATCCCGTGATCTATACGATATTCAATCCAGAGTTTCGCAAGGCCTTCAAGAAGATCATGCATATGGGGTGATTGAAAACGACGAGCATGACAGCAGCAGCAGCGGCAGCACCAGCAATCACAACAATAGCAATAGCAAGCAAGCCGAAACTGGACTAAGAGCAAAACTGTACTTAATCAAAGGTGTAAGTAAGTAGATGGATGAATGAATGGGTAAATGGAATGATGTATGTTTGGAGCACAGTGCCAAATTAAAGCAATGGATGGAGAGATGGATCGATCGATACTCGCCACTCAATTAGGCATATAAGTCTCGAGGCAAGGAGATCCCCGTTCGTTTTGTTCGTAGGTACAATAGCCCTAAGCATGTGTACTCAAAGGTTCAGCCATCTATGTACATAGATCTGTATATACATCTACCATTTAGCTCTAATTATGCATAAGTACTATACACATATAATCTCTATACCAATATCGCGTTGAGAGCATTACGAGCTGTAGGCTAGGTACAATTTTAAACAATTACGTTTAGCTAATCCTAATCTCGAACGATATAATCAAACGCCCCTCCCCAAACTGAATACTGAAAATAACTCTACCGTAGCCATAAGTTCCACAAGTTGTCGGATCAGATTGGAACCAATTCGCTTTAAATTGAGGATAATGTTTTGTATGCTAATTCCTGACCTATCACATATCACGAGCAGACAACTACTCGTATTCCCATCACCGAATGACGCCCCCGCTCCCCCTTCCAGCCCCACCCCAATGAGTAGATAAGTGTAGAGAAGAAATTCCATATCTTTAAAGGCAACGGCAACTCGAAGCAGAAGATTTCGAAGATGCTCGAAGTTAGCGTTTCGATACTTGGTATCGATACTTAGTGTATTGCAGCTGTATTAGGCAGGATATAAATAAGTGACAAGCAGGGCCTTGAGGTCAGCGGCCCCACGCACACACAGCACACACACTCACACACACGAATGAATCAAGTTAAGGACGATAACTGATATTAATAAGTTATCGATAAGCGAAAAAGTAAGGGATGGATGGGTGGTCAAGAATGGTCACGGTAACTCAAATAAACTATTTTCTATCAGTCTATCGGTAAGTTTGATTGATCATATATGTGATCGATAAATGCATCGATAGCTTTCAAAATTGATTATAATCAATCAAGAACTGTCTTCCAAAACCGCCTTGCCCACCCAAGGATCGCATTCAATCAGTAACAGTCGACGCGATTAGATATATCGAATGGCAGATACCCTATACCAAAACCGATAACTTGTCCGCTGAACACACATGCACACACACAAAAAGACTTAACAAAAACAAACTAAATGAGCCCCAAAAATCAAACAAAATCGCAGGAACGCTGACCCTCGATGCCACAACTGCTTACAGAGCACAATTCGGATTATTGTTCAGTTTCAGCTGAAAACTCATAGGCCAAGGCCCTAAGGAAATTACATCGTTTTAAGAGGAATTTCGATAGTGAAAGATGTAAGCGCATTTAAAACCTTAAGGTCTTAGGTATTTAGGTTAGTCGCATAGAATATTCGTAAGTTAAGCAGGGGCGTACCTAGTACGCCAAAACCATTGCCCGAAAATACTCATTTTCAGATCCCAGAGAACGCAAGTTCGGGAAAAGAATATATGCGGTGACTATAGCTGATACTCCCACAGAGATATGTAGGTATAAGGTATAAGGTATAGGGAGAGTGCATAGCAAGTCGGACAAGTGCGAAGAATCAGGGTATGTAGAGCACATTACTAGAAGTAATCTGCAGCCGCTAAGAGAGGCAAAGGTAAAGTTGGGCGAGGGCGCAATAGTTGCCCAGACCCAGCTGAAGTACTACGATAAGATATATAATCGTATGTGTAATATAAAAAACTGAGTTTTGAAACACGGACCGAAACCCTTGACCCACCAACGATGATAGGCCTGTCGGATATCGGATCACGACCAAACGATGCCCCCTCGAATGTGCCCTGGACCAGCGAAGTGCTGACTGAAAAGAGAGTGGAGTTGGATGGGACTATATGTATGTGTATTTGTATATATAGAAGGATGGAAAGCGGGTTAGCCTTCGTTTCGAGACTGCTCCAAACTGCTTGGAGCCTTGCCCCTTGCTCTCAATCAGAATCAGGATCAGTGAGCGAGCATATTCGAATCGGCATCGTCCTGCCAGAGCAGAATCCTAATCCTTATCCGAAACGCTATCGTAGTTGGCCGGGCCGAGACACATTTGGATTTGGGTCCCTGATTTCAATGGCCGTCCTCTTAACTGTTTCTATGTGACAAATAATTGATAGATACTCGTAAATGCATATGCAATACTTTATACAAAATTCCATATATGATATGAATGAATATTGTGTAGCACCTAAGACCTAGGCTCGGATTATGTGTACCTCGGATTAAGCACTAAGCGTTAAGCGATAGCTCACTACCAAATACGAGGAATGTAATCCCCGTAGGAAATTCAGCTCAACGGTTTTTATACTTTCCTAAAATCTTCAAAATGTATCCCTCTGATTATCTGTGTGTATTCGTGTGTGTGTGCTTTAGTGTTTGATTGAGTGAGTGGAGGTGGTTTTTTTTCTCATAATCTTAGACATACGAGTAGTTCATAAGGATAGTAGGCTAAGATACAATATGATGGAAACTGTTCAACATTCAGATCAATGCAAAATGCTCCTAAGTTAAGTTCTTCCAAAGAAAACGCTTATTAATTATAGCTAATTGGTAAATGTGCAAATTGAATTAACTATACATATATACATGCATACGTACACGACACAGACACATACACAAATACCCAGATACTCACACACCTGTTGTTGGTTTATCGAAATTTTAGCCTGAGTTTCAGTGCCGATGAATTGTTATCTATTATCTGTTATCTGTTGAATTCGTTAATTTGTGAATTGATACGATACCCATTTAATGATAGTAAGTACTCCTAAGGCCCCTCCGCATAATCACACCCATATACATATGTATGAAAACTATATAGATATGTATGTATGTATACCCGTATAGTGAGGTCTCTCTGCCCAGTAAGCATACAGTACATATGTCTTTGTGTGCGTACAATATGTGTAAAACTAGACAAGAACAAGAAAAAGACAGGATCTAAAACTGAGAACTATTTTAAAGCAATGGTCAAATTTGATTGTTTTTTTTTCTAGAACAATTACGATGATTATGCATTAAATGAAACGTAGGCTAAGCTCCAAAGAAAGGCGAACTACTGATGCGGGAATAATTACCATAGCTAATAATAATAGCAATAAAACCTAACATCAATAAATGTAATAATAATGGGAATGGCCGCTAACAGCAATTGAGCGGAGCGGTATGAGAATACATTAAATAAATAAAGAGAAATCAATAAAAACTGAAAATATTTCAAAGCAAAAACATCCAAAAAGTTTTCAATTCAAAGGAGGGCGGAGTGGGGCAATGGAAGAAAATAAAGAACGAAAAATTGTGGTTCGGGTGGTGTTTTTGGTAAGTACGAAGGAGCCTGCGTACATTCACATTCACCCATATTGGCGCACATATATCAACATTTTATTGCATTTATATGAGCTGATAATAAAATTCCAATAAGCATGAAAAGAAATAAAAATACTTACACAAGACAAACAAGAGGAACAATGGAGCTGAGAGTCTGCGAATCTGGGAGTCCTGGAGTCTGGGCCTGGCGCTGGTCCTGGTCCTGGGTGAGTGGTGGCTGGAAATCAATTCGATATAGAGGATGCCGCCACCCTGGAAACCAAAGCCGAAACTAAAAGCGTCTAAATAGATAAATGCACGGCCAAAAGGAGCAATTGATAGGGGTAGGGTACGAGTATGAGTACGAGTACGAGTACGAGTAGTAGCAGGGCCAAGACGCCATCAACTGGCACTGCCATTCCCTTCCCCCACATCGTCATCGTCTAATGGGCACTCAGTCAAACAGAGTCTGAGTCGGGGACCAATTCGGAGACAGAGACGGAGACGGAAACTAAGGCGGAAACTAAGAAGGAGGTACGAACTTAAGTGCGTCTCTCCGACTGTCTGTATATGAAGTGGTCTCATGCACTGTGCCAAAATCTTAAGGGATAATTGATACGAGTACAGTCCAAGCAGGCCACCAAGATGATTGCATTCCATAGTACAGATAGAAATGCCACATTTTACACGTATAATCTTGTATATTTGTGTGTAATGGAAGGAGAGACATGAAATAAATGTATTCGGAATTTGTCGGCACAGTTTTAAAGGGCAACGAGCAACGCATTGGGACAATTGGGACATTCTTACTGTTTTTCTTGTTTTTTTTTTTTTTGTACCACTATCTGAAGTTTTTCTCAGTGCTGTCGCTAGTGAATGCCAATTTCTGTGTTTTGTGTACGAGTATTATGCTCAACACCGTCCACCAAGGCCTCATCATCTCAATGTGCGTGCCTGTGGCTGTGTGCTATATCTGTGTGCTGTGCGCAGTGTCTTGGCCCTGGCCATAAATACAAATGTAAAAAGGGCAACCAGAGCCGACCTCTGACCCGACTCCGCTCAGAAATTCCTTCCTGCGCCTTCTGTGTGGAAATTTGTTCCCATCGATTGTCCGTCTTCGGCTCGGCTTTGGGTAGCGTGCCTAGACATAGTGAGGGCCAGAGCGAGGTCCAGAGCGAGGGTGAGGGTGAGGGTGAGACTTGTGTGCTCTATGTCCATAACTAATTCGTACTAAATGATGTACTAAAGTGTTGAGGGGACACGGACATACACACAGACACACATGTAGGGGGAATAGATAGCGGGCGGAATGGGGAAGGAAGGTTTTGTGCCTGAAGGCGATATCTTATCGTTACACTCACTGGGTGGCGATAATTGACAGACCATTAACGTTTGGATTGCAAAAGCTAAAGTACAACTACACAGCAATAGATAGACGGCCAGACTCACAGAGACAGATACGCACTCATTTGAGGGTGTTGGCCTCCTCGTTAAAGGCATATGCCAATGCCAATGTCCATGTCGATGTTCATGACCAGAAACCTTTGTGATTTACGTTTGCCAAGTGTGTGGTGAACCTTCTTACTCGTATTTTATACCACAAGAAATCGTCGTTGCCTACTATTCCCACGCTGGAGTCCTAAAATGAAGATTATATTCGGCAAATGAATAACAAAAGTGTAACAAAAGGCAACAATACACGCAGATACCCTAAAATAATATATGTACAAGTATTCTATAATAAACAATCAAATATATGATTATTTCCATGTACACATAATATTTTAAATCCATGATTCCCTCATCCATTATCTGCCTCTCACCGAAAACTGAAGTGTCCTAAGCCCTAATTTTAAAACTGGATTCCAGTTGGCTTTTTTGTAAAAATATTTCACATGCTTTCGGCCCTGGGGGTGTGCCTGTCATGACTGTTGCTACGGCAGCTGCTCAGCCAAGCATCTAACTATCCCATGCCCTTAACCATACCCATACTCCATCCCATTCCCAGACTCCATACGAGCCGAAGTCCGTCTCCGTACGGTTCAGCTTGTGACCCGGAATGGAATTCTGGCAACCGGAAACTCAACGGTGCAAAGTCCAAATCGAAAAATATGCACACGACCAGAAATAGTTTAAATATAAGGCCAAATATTAATATGTACATGTATCCATGTGGCTTTGGAAGGGCCGTGGGGGGCATAGGATAGTCCTCTTCTGGCTATGATGGGGCTAGTGCAATCAAGCATGCCTTCTCTTTGGATTACTGGGGCCTGGCGTCGTTTCAACTTCACGCTCGACGACTTTCCAGCCTGCAGGAAGATAGTCCCCGAAATCGTTGGGGGTGGTGGAAAGGTTCCCCTTCGAAAGGGTCGAACGAAGAGCCCATTGACTAGTCGACTCTTTTCTTACACGCTGGTTGGCCTGGAGGTGGAACTCAATATAAATTGACGGCTATCCGATTATCTTCCCGGTCGCTTCCTGGCTGCTGCCAAGATCGATCCAGGACAATGCCTCTGCCGAGTCCTAAAAGGGTCTCTCAATTAACCCAAGGGTTGCCATTGTTTCTCTGCTCCATTGAAGTCTTCCACTTTCCATCGTTTTTCAC